CAAACCAAAAATTACAGCAGTAGAAGTTGAATATGAAACCAAATGTTTATGTCTTTCACATCCAATTCATATTAGCAACATTTACCAGCAGCAGCAGCACCAACAACAACAACAACGACATCATCAGCAGCAGCAGTTATACCTGGCACAGTTTTAGGTAAGCCAAAATTGACTGCATAAAGTTACAAAAGTTGAGAGTGAAAGAGAAAGATTTGCGATCTGCTATTTGCCATTATGGGGTTTATGTCATTCGAGTAGCAGAAGATGCCAAGCAATTTGGTATAGTAACTGTTCTGACATTCACTAACATTACACAATTATGCAGCAGACAGATTTAGTGCATGGATGTCACAGTGTCTTTGGGAAAAGGATTAAATTTGTTAAAAATAAAATCCTATAATTTAACGTTTTGAGTCCTGGAAATATTTTTGTAATATTCCTTAAAAATCCAGGCCTTAAGTTGTGAAAATATTATAGTAAAATTCTTTAAAAAATTCCTGCCTTGAGACCTGTGAATATTTACGTGATATTTCATAACAATAGATTGCCGAAGGCGGTCATTTTGACCGTTTTTCAATTTCAAGTACAAAAACAATTGTGTATATTATGACACAGCTTTTTCAAATTTGGTGACTTTTTGTACCACATAGAACTACGTTTATTTATCATAGTAGCTGCTCCCCCCTCTTTCATTCCCAATATTCACATGTGCTATACCTATATTGCCTAAAATCGGTCATGAAATATTAAATAATCAAACTACCCGAAACCCGTTTGCTACTCTAGTATGATTGTAAATAATGTAAGAAATATTAAAAAAATAAGTTTGAAACAATTTCTTTATACAATAAAAATTCTCTCAGAATGAGGTCATTTTGACCGATTTTAGGCAATATAGGTATATACAAAATTCCAGTCTTCCTAGTGTTAAAACTAACTCCTTTCTTATAAAATGCCTTAAAAACCCCCACGCCTAGAGTCCAGGGAATATTCTTATAAAATTCCTTAAAAACCCCCACGCCTAGAGTCCAGGGAATATTCTTATAAAATTCCTTAAAAAATCCACGCCTAGAGTCCGGAGAATATTCTTATAAAATTCCTTTAAAACCCACGCCTAGAATCCTGGGAATATTCTTATAAAATTCCCTAAAAAACCCACGCCTAGAGTCCTGGGAATATTCTTATAAAATTCCTTAAAAAACCCACGCCTAGAGTCCTGGGAATATTCTTATAAAATTCCTTAAGAACCCACGCCTACAGTCCTGGGAATATTCTTATAAAATTCCCCAAAAAATCCACGCCTAGAGTCCTGGGAATATTCTTATAAAATTCCTTAAAAAATCCACGATTTGAGCTCTGGGAATATTCTTATAAAATTTTTTAAAAACCCACGCCTAGAGTCCTGGGTATATTCTTATAAAATTCCTTAAGAACCCACGCCTAGAGTCCTGGGAATATTCTTGTAAAATTCCCCAAAAAACCCACGCCTAGAGTCCTGGGAATATTCTTATAAAATTCCTTAAGAACCCACGCCTAGAGTCCTGGGTATATTCTTATAACATTCCCCAAAAAACCCACGCCTAGAGTTCTGGGAATATTCTTATAAAAGTCCTTGTTTTTTTTTTAATTCACATCTTATGTTCGTGGCTTATTTTTATGAAAGTCCTCAAAATATAATTCCAAAACACTGTTCACCCATATAAAATGCGTCATGACGTTTCATAGTTTGTTGTTTCGTTTTGGCATATTTTCGATTCGAATGATAGTTAGATGAATACAGGCATACATACACTCAGTGGCATAAATATATACTCCCACACAGCATTATACATACAGTCGAACGCTAACACTGAATGATGTTTGGAGCAATTATGTGGTTTTTTCTCGAGCTACTGAAATTACCATGAAAATGTCATTTACAGTCACAAAGTGAAACCGAGACCGAGTCTTAACAAATATGATTTGTTAGGCAATTTTCGAAGATGATGCTTTTGGAGGGAGATGTAGGTGACAATTTTTTCTCGTGTGAGTGTGCCGAGGAGTTTTTAGCAGACAATTAACACAATTCCGTAAGACATATATGCATAAACAAACTTACAAGTAGATAGCAAGATATCAGTTAATCTACTGAACTGAACTTCGAGTGAAATTATGTGAGAGTGTGTATATATGGGAGAATGTGGGTTGATAGGTTTGTGTTACATGCAGAAATTTAAATTGAAAAATACACCTATAGCATGGATTTTGTGTCAATATTACAGTTGTATTTATCTTTCATTTCTATGTGTATTAATTGGTCACCAAGTCATATCCACATGTAAGTATGACGATATGAGTAAATCTGTTCAGGGTAGAAATCCAAATCTCTAAAATGTCATTAAATTGTGGAAGTGTTATGCATTTTATTACTTTAAATATGTTCTTCTTCTTCTCTCGTTTTTTTGTGTGTTATAATTGCAGCTCAAGGGTCATATTCCGTTTAATGGACCCATTTGCATTTAATTACTGTGGCATTCTTAATAGCGCCTCGGTTATGACACATTTTTATTTTAAGTAATTAACTTTAAGAATCTTGTAATGGTTTTCGAGCATATTGAAATTATTATCACGTCTTTGAGACAATAACAATAAGAGTAATAATTATAATATTTGTAATTATTGTCAAGACGATGTTGAGGGAAATTTTGAAGGCACAAAGTTTTGGAAAAAATGTTATTCATTTGAAATAATTTTAGAAGCTGTTTTTGCCAAGAGTATACAATTTAATCGCGCTTTAAATCAAAAGAAAAACAAAGTGAGGAAATGAGAACAAATTGCATTCCAAGGAAACAGCTTAATAATTTACAAAAAATGTTTGTTGTTTTTTTGTGATTAAAGAAAAGTCCTTATTTTTGATGAAACATTGGAATCCGAAAATTCTAACGGTGTTAGAAAGAGTACATGTCTGGCTCTCGTATTATTGACTTCGCACAACATTTAGCAAAATGGCGGAACTTTGATTTGTTTTGGAAAATCCACATTTTTACATATATATTTGGCTTTAAGATTTAAAAAGAGAAAGAAAAATAATTTACAAAAAATTGTCGTTCAAAGTTTGATGCTAACACTATATCTTCAGCTATATCTTCAAAAATTGTTGAGATTTTCACTTGAAAATTTATAGGGACATTCGAATTAAATAAAAATACAACATTATTTTTTTAGATACCGAGAATGGGGACCCCTTAAATGACAATATGTATATAGATATAGTATATATATATATATACTTTGAAGTATATTAAATAAAACTTACCGATAATTGAGGCGCTACACCAGTGAAAGGGTATTCATTTTTGGGAATTTGATCTTTCATCTTGGATATTTTGTGGTTACTGGTTCATCTGAAATAAATATATACAACGAAAAAATGAGAATGAGTGAGCTGTGAAGTAAACTAGGATTATTTTCAAATTTCGATGAGTTCGATATTCGGATTTTTCCTGTTGTATTGTTCAAAAGTATTTTAAATATGTTAGTCATATCAGCCATTTTTTGTTTTTAACAGATAAAAAGGTTAGCCTTGTAATGTTACGCTCTTCGATTTATTACTATTCGAAAAATGGGTAAAACAATTAAATTAAAGACTTTTGAAATGTTGTCTGTGGCGCGGAACATGAGTTCAGTTGTGACATAACCGGTTTAAGGGTGGACGATGTTCGTCCCGGTCACTCGAATAACGCAATAACCGATAAAGGAATTGCAGATGTGTAAATTGTGTATACCCTTAGCTATAAATTGTATATAACACCGAGGGGCTTGGAAAGTCCTTATGGGAATGAAAGACCCACAAGGACTCGAGATAGAAGGAGGATATATTTTACAAAAAATAAAATAGGTTTGACTGGCATGCATAGCAAAAATAATCTGCAATAGCCACAAACAACGATATAAAGCTTTTTCTTCGTGAGCTTCAGAGTTGACAGCAAAAAAAATATATATATATATATATATATATATGGCGAATTTGTCCTTCTGTTCACATGCAGTGTAATTTGTTATTTGGCCTTCAACACGTTGAACATTTTTTCTTTTTTTATTGGAATTGGAATCTTGCAGGTTAAGCTGTATATTTTCTGCTGTAATGTGATATGTCTTTTTCTCAGAGGAAATTTGATGAATGCCCACATCATGGTGGCGTATTTGTTCGAAATTTTGCTCAATTTGACCGGACAATGATCGAAACATATATGTTTTTTGTTAATCTGACCCCAACTGTAACCCACACTTTATCGAAGGTAACTCAAACTCCAAGCGAAATTTTAGAACGATCAGGGCATAACTGCGATCTTTGCAATGGAAATATAGAATATCAGTTCCAAACTTTAGTTTAACAAAAATTAATTTATCTACCTTACATTTATGACCCATTATAATGGATCCAGTAAAATATGCAAATAAAAATACATCTCCTACCGTTCATCTTAAATTTATTCCTTACATTTCCTATTCTGTACAAAATTTACAGTTGATCGAACCCGAACTCGAGCTCTATGAGCAATTATTAAATTTATCAATTAACTATTCTCATGAATTTATAACAGATAAATATGTAAATTAATTTCTTTGATTTATAAAAGTACTTAGAATGAGTTAATGTGTGTGTGTATGTGCACGTGTCTTAAATTTTAAACAATATTCCCGTGTCTCTTCTCTTACAATTACATACGCACACACACTCATACATAAATAAGTTACACGGCATTATTTACACCAATGATTGATGGTTTTGGATACGAAATTATAAATTGAATTGATAATCTCTAGCCATTGTCTTTGTTTCGATGGTAATCTCAGTAAATTTTCGCACGCTCACACAGACACACACGTAGATAATTATCTCACACACTCATGCACTATCATGATGTGTGACATGCCTTTGACAGGATATAAAGAACAACGACAACAAGAAGAACAACAACATTTTGTAGCAACAAGAATGCATAGCGAGCGAATAGAATTCAATTTCTTTTACCACAATGGTAAACGTTGACAACGACATCCATTGCATAGGATGGTGGGTGGTGGGTAGGCTGGGTGGTGCGTGGAGGGGCAGTGATGGTGTTGCAACTGATGTTACTGCCACCGATAACAATGCCGTTGACATTAACGATGATGTTGCTGTTGATGAGCTGACAATATCAAAGACAAAAACTTTAAATATCTGCATGTGTATTTGTTTCTTTGCCTACTACTACAAATCCACTGTCATTGTGGTTAACAATAGGAGTGTGTGTATGTAGCTATGTGTGCCTGTGTGTGTATGGTAGCAAGTGTATGAATGCGACTTGATGAGTGGTTATCTAATAGATGCCGCCTTCATTGTGGAGAAATGTAATTTTGTGTACAGTGGAACTTAAAAAGGAACAACTTAATTTAAAAGTATGCATTTGCCGAACAGCACGGACAGCGTAGCGATGTCCGTGCGACGTTGTGCTCAATATGTTGTAATTTTGGAACCATTTTCACTGCCGCGCAATCTATGCCTATAACATCTATAAAAATTGCTTGAATGAACCGAACGGTATGCCAAAGCATCATTATTTTGATTGAAATATTTGTCTTCACTTGAATCGAAAACATCTCGGGGTTTCTAATTTTTAATACAAGAAATATATATTCCATAGAGTTTCCACTGTAAGTGTATATATGTATATTTGAAAATGCGTTTTTGTTTTGTAATTGTGTTTAGTTGTATTTACGCTAATGCTTTGTCTGTCTACTGTAATTATTGTAATTAATTACACTAAGCAACATGCAAACAACAAGCATAACAACATTATCATCAAGGAAGCATTAGTAATATAATAATCAAATGTTGTTGTCATTTGTGTTGTTGTTGTTCTTGTTTTTGTCAACTTGACAGGATATCAAAAGAATACTGATGATGTCGTTGCAGCAGCAGAAGCAGCAGCTTTAAACATTTCTAAAGCAGATTTTGTATGCGGCAGCTGTGGCCTCTTTTGTTCGGCTCATTTGTATTTAAATTTTGTAATGATTTTGATTGTTGTTGCTGCTGCAGAATAATGTTGTGATTACATCTATTTGTAGTTATAGTTGTTGTGGTTGTTGTTCTTGCTCTATTGCATCTATTGGTTGACTACTTGACATTCGAATAACAAATATTTTGCATAATTTGCACATCCTATCCTATTGTTATTACTTTGGGGAGGAAAACAATAATTCTGTTTATGGATAGAGTTGTTAATTTGTTCGAATCTCTTGTGTAATTGAATTGTTTTATATATATTTTAGGAAAATCTAAATCGTCACATAAGCGTTCGTTCAGTCGTCCATATAGTAATGAAATAATGGGATTTATCGAAAAATAATGAAATGTAGGTTTAATATGAATGGAGACTAAAAAATTATTTGTTAAAGATAATAGTTCTGTTTGACGTATACATATTGTCGGTACTCATACGCACCTATTAACAACAAAACGTAAAAACTTCAGAGACAACGATTCGTAAATGCCATTTTTCCAACCTTACCTGACTGATCTGGGGGATTAAAGTAAAATACTCAAATCGAAATATTAACTGTAAATTAACTCAAATAAATGAGCTCATTCAATTGTAATCCCTAGTTGTATTAATTTATAGTTGGCGTATACGTATTGTCAATACTCATACGTACGTATTACTAAGAAATTCAAGAATGATTCGTCAGCCGGGCACCCAAATTCTTCTCTTCTCGGATAATTGCAGAGCGATTAAAAACACTGAAATCGAAGTAACCTCAACCAGAACTATAAATTAGTACAATAAATTAATAGTTCTGTTGGGCGTATACACATTGTCTGCACTCATACGCACGTTTTACCAACACCATATATTTAAGATGTGCGAAATGGTTCTATATTCTATAAAAGTACTATATATAATGATTGTTTTGAAGTGGAACAAACAGAAATGTTTGTGTTTCAAAACAAGTTTTATGTTAATAGTCTACTGTAGACCAGGGCTGTCCACACTAATACATGCAAATGTTTGTTATTGTATTTGTTTCAAATACACAATTTCAAATTTATATTTCTCTCTTATTAAACTGTGAGAAAAATTGTAGAAACTTGTATTTCAAATTTTAAGACAGAAAAACATTTTGTATTCAATGCAAATATGCTTGTTAATGATATATTTTCCTATATAGCGATAGATTTGCTTCTGTTTCACCAATCCCCATTGTATTGGTCACATAAGAACTAATATATAAAATGTCCTAATTTTTTGTTCAGTGTATGAATACAAAAAGGAATGAATGACAATTTTGAAAATATTTTTTATTTTCAAATTTTTCTATTTTTATCATTGTGTGTGTGAGAGTTTTGACACACACCGACAGCCCATGGGACCTATTTTGGGCACTGCTGCTGTAGACCCAAGCTATTTTTCTGAAATTATTTAATTTATATACTTTGCACAATGGGTAGGAATGTTTCGGAATTTACTATTAATCCACAACGATACTTGGGAAATAAGTATAAAAATTTATTTTTGTATAATGTCGTTAAATCTCTGTCGATTTTTTACTTGTTCTCGCATACGATATATAATTTTTTGGACTTCTTAGCCGTGCATCTACATAACTGCATTGAAAATATTACTTAAATGATTCGATATGACCTAACATTAACCAACTGACACCACAGATGTAATCTTAGAAGTGTACACTCTATTAAATTGTTGATGCTGTTGTGTTGATATTGGTGTGTGGTTATATTCGGTTAGTCAATCATTAAGTCGACTAGTTAGTCATTCATTTATTCATCCAATCAATCATCTATACTAAGCTTTTATTGTTCTTTAGTACAAAATTGTGTGCACGCACTGCACGTGGATGCATGGACACACATATATGTATGTATACACATGCGTGCATTCAAAACTAAATCACTGACTAACAATATATTGCCTGAATAAACGTTTAAATGAATTTCAAACTATAGCTTCGAAAACAGGGTATTGAATTTTACAACAAGTAAATATTATACATATGTATGCAATGTCTTTAAACATTTGCGTTGAAATTTAACGTTAATAAATAGAAATGCGATGAACGGAAAATTGTACCAAATTTCAATTAGAAATAGTGGTAATTTTAAATATTGAACGTAGAATTTTACATGTAAAGACCAAATTGGTAGCGTATACATGTTGACATTAATCATACGCACCAATGTACCCATTTCGGAAAAGTGAACAGATACATTGAAATAACAATAATAAACCATAATATATTTAATCTAATGTGTTAAATCGCCTTCATATTATAACAGCCTGGAATTTGTTTCTCATTAAAAAATATCTACGATTCGATTGAATGTATCGATTTCAAAGGAATATATTTAATCCATGATCCATGATATTTTAAAAATCCGGACATTTATAAAAGTTACAAATAATTCGAAATCAAAATCATACCATACGCATATGTGATTTTCTAGATTTGGAAAAACTCATAGATTAAACTTTTTAAAATATCTTATCTGCTATCAGTGTTCTATACATGTTGTTAAATGTCATACGCACCCACGGTCTTCTTTAGCTAGTACATTTAATACTTTAAAATGTGCACTTTTTTAATAGAAATTCTTCACTTTTCATTAATTTCAAATCATTTTTATCATTTTTATTTAATCGTATTATCCTCTCAATGCTTTCAAGCATCACACATATGGGCAATATTGCCAATTTTTTTAATATTCCATTTTCAAAAAATCAGCTTTTTTGTTTTTGTGGCACATCTATGATTTTTGGTACACATATAGAGAAAAATGTTCTGACTCCGAAACCGTTCGCGATCAAATTTTTGGTTGATGCGCGCAAAAGTTATCGAGGTTTTAATTTTGGGCATAAGAAAAAAATCTTAAAATTACGCCGTTTATTATATTGGCCAAAAACGTTGATATATATCTTCCTCCGTAAAATAAGAATATGAATATATTATAATAAACACGATAAAGTTGCACATATTCGCGAAATATAAGAAAAATAAAAAAATATAGCAGATTACATCAATATTTTCATTATATTAATGACATACACACACCTAAAAATTAATCAAATGATATCAAAATCACACAAGTTCGTGTAGCGGTTTCTAAATCAAAGCGACAACAAAACAAGATATTGAGGAAAAATATTTGTTTTTGGTTCGAAAAAAATGTCATCATATTTATTTTTTTAATTGTATACAACAAATTTCAGAAAAAAATGTTGGGGTTATTCTGTTATTTTACCCGAATTTCGCTGAAAAATTTACATATATAATAATAATCACCTTTTGTGTATAAGTATACGCCTTGCGGATTATATCAAGACCCTTCCGATAAATCTTAGAATTCTATAAATAGGAATAAATCTTAAAATAAAATAATATTATGAAATATACATTTTAAGTACTGAAGTTTATCTTCCAATCCATATACATTTTGCGAAATTTCATTTGACGACTAAGATGTGCCACACGTTGCATTGAAGTACCCAAAAAATCGTAAAACGCGAATAATTTCCGAAAACTCCATATGCCATTAACGCGCATCCGATTTCGGTGTGCACCCTAAAAAATTACATCGATCTATACCGATTTCAATGTGGTCCATTAAGAACCATGGATGAGCTGAAACTATTTTTGAGATAAATTGGGTACATCTCTCCTTCGGCTGAAGTTTTTAAAGTTTTCTTTTCGAAAAAGATCAAAATCCGTATGAGGTCATTTATTGAAGCGGAAATGATACACAGAAAACGCAAATAAAACCGCGATATTTTCAAAAACATTTTTTACCAAATTTCGTGTTTTTGGAAGGCCAGTTCCCGCCGTTCTAGTAGATGGATTTTCACGAAGAAGATTTTATATCATCCGAAACGTAAAAAACCTTATTGATCGCGGGTACCCATATCATTCAGTTGACAGATCTAAAAATTTGGCCCGAAAAATAGGTTTTTTAGAAGTTTGATCGCACAAAATTCGCACCTTCGGATGAATATTACTCTGAAGCTGTGCATACTACATACACAAAATACATATCAAATAACGCAGATTCGCGACTACAATAATCTTATAATCGATTTTTATAAATTCCTGTTTGCGCATTAAAACTAGAAGTAAAATTCAAAAAACACTCAAAATC